TGATGTGTTGGATGTAATTATACTGCAAGATCACCTTGTAGGTTTTTAGACATCATTTGTTAAGTTAGATAGTTTAAAAGTATAGGTTTTATAAAAATCTATTTGCCATCATATTAGAGATTATTGTTTATTAGCATGTATAATTTTGTGTTTGATAAATAACTTTAAATTATATACTGGGAAGAAGTAAACTTGAAAATTCTTTTTCTGCAGCTGACCAAACTCGCCAGTTGTTTGTAGGTGATGCCATCATTATGGTAAGAATTTATTTTATAACATTCATGATGAGCATATATTATTAAGTTGATAAGTATGGTTATTCAGTGAATCTAAAAAAAATGTATTTTGTTTCATCTAAATTTTAAGGCATAGTAACACACCTTTGTACTTAAGTTCAGCTAAGAGGTTTTGCTCAGCTTTTTTTGTGTTACTGATCTAATTCGTTATCTGTCATTACATTATCATGTCCTTTTATTACCCAATATTTAATTAAGAAATGATAGTCACAGTGTGTATAGGTTTGTAGAAGTTCATTGATAAATGTGCATAATATTCCATATCTGACTTTCAAAAGACTTGGTTTGTAAATTATTGATCAGACAGTACAATATTAATGCTTTTGTCCAGGGGAATATTAGTAAAAAGAGAAATAATATTGAAGCTACCAATCACGTGATTTTTAGGGGTGGAGAGTGAGCTGATTTCTTGGGAAACGGTACCCCTGGACAAAATCATTATTATTGATCAGTTTTTGCACTATTAGAAATTGATTTGTACAAGTATTGTCTCTGTATTCCATAAAATCACCAAATTCTACTTAATTGGTTTAATCACTGAAGTTATAAAAACTTTTCTAGTAGCTGTCTAAATATTTCATGAAATGACCAGTTTGTTTATTAACTGGTCTGTAATTATCTGTTTAAATATTTCATGAAATGACCAGTTTGTTTATTAACTGGTCTGTAATTATCTGTTTAAATATTTCATGAAATGACCAGTTTGTTTATTAACTGGTCTGTAATTATCTGTTTAAATATTTCATGAAATGACCAGTTTGTTTATTAACTGGTCTGT